GCTGACCGGTGAGTGCCGGGTCCGAGGTGGAGTGGGGAGGGTGGAACTGGAGACTCCAAGAGTTTTCCGGGGTGATTTCTCTTCCTGTGTTTTCAGAGAAGGGCGGGAAGACTCAGAGCCGACCGGAGAAATGTAAGGACCCCTCGTCGTGCGTGCGTCTAAGGCCCTGTCCTGCTGTCTGTCTGCCCGGTGGGCTCTGTCCCAGAATCCGAGGGCTGCCCGGGCAGGGAGGCAGGGCCGTGGCTAGGGCCGGAGGCACTGAGTCAACAGTGAGTTTCCGGGGGAAAGGCCCCCGTGCCAGTCCTGTTTGCAGCCCACATCCAACCTCAGGCCAGATGGGGTGGAGGATTCTGGGAGAGGCGCGCGCGGTGGGCTGAGGGAGATGTGGGCTGAGCTGAATCGAGCCCCTGCTCCCTGTCCCAGCCGTGCGCCCGGAGTTTGACTGGAGGGACCCGCTGGTGCTGGAGGAGCAGCTGACAGCTGATGAGATCCTCATCAGGGACACTTTTCGCACCTACTGCCAGGAGCGCCTGATGCCTCGCATTCTGCTGGCCAATCGCAACGAAGGTGCCCAGGCGGGCTCGTGGGCACCCTGTCCACCATACACACCACCTCTGCCTACTCTAGCTGGGCTTCTGGGCACCTCTGTCCCTGGGGTGGGGTCTCCAGTGGGCCAGAGGTAGGCCTGACCTTGGTCATCTGTCCATTTGCAGTTTTTCACCGGGAGATCATCTCCGAGATGGGGGAGCTTGGTGTGCTGGGCCCCACCATCAAAGGTAGGGATAAGTCTCCCCACACTCGGCAGCCCCACCTGTGTGCTGGAAGGCCCCTTACTTCCCGGAGCCTGTTTCCCAGGCTGCACAGTGAGGCTGTTGTTGTCCCTCAGTCCCGCTGTAGGGCTGAAATGAGTAAACCCTCAAGCGAGGGCCAGCTTAGCGCTCCCTCCTTGGGTGCCCCTATGTATCTGTTTCTTGGGCCTCAGGAGTCACTGGTCCCAGCTGGCAGGCTTTGCCCCCATTGCCCTGTCTCCTCCCCCCACTCGCCCACCAGGGTATGGCTGTGCTGGAGCCTCATCTGTGGCTTATGGGCTCCTGGCCCGGGAACTGGAGCGGGTGGACAGTGGCTACAGGTCAGCAATGAGTGTCCAGTCCTCCCTCGTCATGCACCCCATCTACGCATATGGCAGCAAAGAGCAGCAGCAGAAGTACCTGCCCCGGCTGGGTGAGTGGCTTCCTGTGGAGCTCGGTGGAGGACAGTCCCCGTGGTCTGGAACTCAGGGATGGGGCTGTCCCCTGAGCCTACCTTCTGTTCCCGCTTCAAGGATAGCACCAACGGCCACCTGGACCCTCTGCCAGAGCCTGGGCTTCATCCCATAAATCCTGGCCATCCCTCCTAGGTCTCTCTTGACTGGGGCCCCTGCTCACAGCCATCATCTCCCTCTTGATTTGCTTTGTTTCCCCCATCCCAGCCCAAAGTTTAAAGTCTTAACGTCCTGACTGGGTCCAAGAGGCCTCATCTGTGGTCACTCTCTTGATGGGCTGCCCTAGTCAGACTCAGTTACTTGGAAATCTAAATGTATCACTGGGCCTTTGTACATCCTTTCCCCACATCCAGGACTGCTTTCTCCACACCTCCTATTTAGCTTTCATGCTCCTTCAAGGGATTTAGGTGACTCCTGTGGGTCCCCCATCATGGCATGTGACTATGGCAGGGGGAGGGGGAGACCTGTCCCTTCACCGCCTGGAAGTGCTGTGAAGGCAGGGCCAGATCTGCCTTAGCCTGGCTCAGTGGAGAGGATGTTAGCTCCGTTAGCGCTGGTTTCCACCCACCCTTTTCAGGTGAGGGTGTAAATGAGGGACACCCTGTCTCATACCTACAGCCAAAGGGGAGCTCTTGGGCTGCTTCGGGCTCACAGAACCCAACCACGGGAGTGACCCTGGCAGCATGGAGACCAGAGCCCGCCACAACCCATCCAGCAGGAGCTACACCCTCAATGGGGCCAAGACATGGTGAGGGGCCTGGGTACCTCAGGTGGATAGGCAGAGGCAGAGGGGTGGCAGCCAGATCCTCACTGTCTGTCCCACCCCAGGATCACCAACTCGCCTGTGGCCGACCTGTTTGTAGTGTGGGCTCGGTGCGAAGATAATTGCATTCGGGGCTTCCTGCTGGAGAAGGGGATGCAGGGCCTCTCGGCCCCCAAGATCCAGGGCAAGTTCTCCCTGCGGGCCTCAGCCACGGGTATGATTATCATGGACGGTGTGGAGGTACCAGAGGAGAACGTGCTGCCCAATGCCTCCGGGTTGGCGGTGAGCAGAGCCACCTTGGGAACTGGTGTTGGGTCACATGCTGATTCACCTTTCTTGGGCAGGCCCTGTGCTGGGGACCAGACAGACATGGTCCCTGTGCACATCCCTTTCTGGTGACTATCTTGCTCATACTGGCTCTGCCCAGGACACATTGGGCCAGAATCAGCTTAATCCTTTGACGCATGCACATCTTCCTGTCTCCTATGTCAGCTCCTATATCTGAGCAGCCAATCCAGATCCTGGGCTGGGTAGAACTGTGTGAAAATCAAGAATGAGTAGGCACTGAGCAAGGCCTGCCATGCATGAGCTTTGGTGCCAGGGCTGCGTGTGATTTAAGTGGCGTCCCTAAATCCCCCCATTTATACTGACTATGTGTCTGGGTGTCTGAGGAGGGAGTGTCCCCCTCTTCAGAGCTGGTTCTGCACACACCCTCTCAGCTCTTTCCTGATGGAGATAAGGCCCCCTTCTCAATCCTATAGGGTCCCTTCGGCTGCCTAAACAACGCCCGGTATGGCATTGCCTGGGGTGCACTTGGAGCTGCTGAGTTCTGTTTGCACACAGCCCGGCAGTACACCCTGGACAGGTGAGTGGGGGCTGACCTGAGAGCTTCAGGTTCCATCCTGTACCCCACTGGTGACTCCCCAGCCCAGCCCACCAGACCTAGGCTCCCTGCTGTGTGAAATAGCCAGGGAAGGCCCGCTGAGCAGTGATGGGTTGAGTCAACGATGGCCAGCACGAGTTCGGCAGGGACTGAGGCAGCCTGGAAAGGCTGCCTGGGCCAGTGGAGCCCTGGGAGAGGACTGGAGAGTGGGCCCCCTCTTTAACTTACGCTGACCTTGCCTGCCTAGGATACAGTTTGGCGTCCCACTGGCCAGGAACCAGCTGATTCAGAAGAAGCTGGCGGACATGCTCACCGAGATCACACTGGGCCTTCATGCCTGCCTGCAGCTTGGCCGCTTAAAGGATCAAGACAAGTAGGGGCCATTTGTAGTGGGAGGCAGAGTGGGACAGCTGCCACAGGACCCTGTGCTTCTCCTGGGCATGGTGGTTGCTGGCCCTGAGAAGAAAAGTCCTTCCTACCTAGTGGCCCTTGGGGTCCTGATCCCTTTTCTCTTGGCCTTGATGGGCCAGGGCCCACCCTTCTTGTCCCTCATGGGGAGCCTGGTGCCTGCTGCTTTGACTGTAACATGGGGAATCCCCTCCCCCGCCCCCCCCCCCCCCC